TTGGACACTGTCTCTCGGACCTTCATCTTCGATCATCATCGAGTCTCCCTGAGAGCATTCACCATTTTCACCTGCAGAAAAAGACAGACGCCAGCCAAAGGAGAGGGAGACGCAAGGTTGGCAATAGCAAACAGATCTTCGAGAGGTAAGTAATACCTTAAACAACATGTTCTACTGAGTTGGTTATTTGCCCATGAACATATCTCTGTTTGATATTTGTATATGCTCATTATTACCAAACATCATCAATCTTCACCTCCAACACTTGATTTCCAATACCCGTGATCACCTTCATTCCCTACTGCAACTCCCACCCATCATCACGGGCACACACGCGAACTTCCTATTCCTCCATTTACTCAACCAAACCTCATTCCCTCATCCAATCATCAACCATCATCCATATTCACCGGTCACTACCAACACCTCACGGCCACCACCTATCTTCACCCGTCATCCATCATTGACTACACCATTAACTGCAAAAAAAAATCAAAATCTGTCTTCATTGCTATGGCAACAAACAACACCAAAACAGATTCAAATCACCTAAAGAGGAAAACCTAAACACAAAGATAAAGGAAATATGTAGAACAATCATCTGCACACACCGGCGACGGTGGTTGGGAGTTGCGCCGGCGTGAGTTAGGGTCGAACAAGGGGGGGTGCCGGTGGCGGCGTTTCTATCCCAAGCGTGAAAGGGAGACCCGTGAGGAGACCTGTGAGCAGCGAAGGCGTTTCTGACATTAGCATTTGCCGCCGATGATGTCTCTGATCCAGTTGTAGGACGCGGCAGTGTGGCATCAGAGGCAGCGGTGGCCGCGAACGGGGGGTAGCGTCGGTGTGTGTGGCGGAGGCGAGACCCTCCCTTGGGATCGCCGTTTTCGAAGGGAGAAGAGTGGAGACGGTGGCGTCGTGGCTGGCGGTGGTTTTGGTGGCGCAAGTTGTCGTCGGCGAGGCCAAGGCTTGTTCTGGCTGAGGCGACGGTGGCCGGTTCTGGCTGAGGCGACGGTGGCCGGTTCTGGCAGAAGCGGCGGTGAGCTTATGGGTCAGAGTAAGAGACCTTGGGAATGTTGAATCTGAGTGGGTAAGGAATGGAAGGGGAATGTTGAACCCCTAGGGGATTCTAGGTCTGGAAAACCACCTCGGGCCAGTGTTGGGCCAAGCCCAAGAATAATTGAAAACCTTTTCTCCCGCAGCCCCTGTTTCTCACTTCCACACCCCCTTTCAGCTTGGATTTTTTGGCCTAGTGCATTTACAAAAGAAAAAAAATAGTTTAGACACCCCAGTTTCTCATTTAGGCACCCCCACTATTTGTTTTATTTTTATTACTTATTTATTTATTTGCTTTTCTTTATCTATTTTATTTTGTTCCCTTATTTATCTTATTCTATTTGTTTTTTTTTATTTTAATATTTTTATTGTTGTTTTGGTTTTTATTGTTTTCATTTTATTTTATTTATTTATTCTAAATATCTACTTATTTTAAAATACATATTTAATAATACATAAAAAATAATATATATATATATATATATATATATATATACATACAAAAACCATTGTTTTCGTTCACTCTTCCTTTTGCTCACTAACTAAAAGACTGCATGGTGGTTCCCTCAATGCTGAGAAACTCTATTTTGAGGCAGATGGCAAAGGTAGCCTGCACAGCATTGCAAAACAACTAGTCATTTAGAAAGTAAATCATCCACTTTTGTGCATTTCAGTTTTCTTATTCATGAATTCTAAATCTACATCAAACAAAAAAGATTGAATCTTTTCAAAGAATGCCTCCAAGAAACTTACCCCAATGTGAGGGAGGTGTCAAAGGATTGCTCTTGTACATGCTTTATTTTCTACAGTGACAAACAAGAGGAGCTATAAAAAAACATCACATACTAATAAAAACACTGCTAATAAGTGTCTTAAGAACATTACTTAAAGAATATTGAAAACAAAAGCAGAGTATACTGTCAGCACTTTCCAACTGTTAGTTTTCTGATCTGTGAAACTATTCGAGGAAGAAAGGGAAAATACACTGCGATGTTGTGGTGTGGTTAGTCTGATAAAAATCTTATTTCTAGGACCATTAACAACTTTTAACAATAGATTATACGTCGTTATTTTATTGGTTCGTATATTTAAAATAGACTGATAAGGAGTTACCACGTAGATATGATAAAAAGGTTATAAAAAAAAGTTGTTATATAAAAAAACATTTTAAGTGCATCCATTGTAATATTTTCAGTTTGCTGTTTAAACCCTTTTATTCCACAAGATTTTGGTGTTAGAAATAGCAAAGATGGCATTTCCTTGTGATTTTCTTTTGTAACAGGACGAGAACTTGAATAATATATGCATGAGTTTACTAGGAAAAATTTGTAGCAAAACCAGAAAACCCTAACGACTGATAAATTTTATTCGTGAAAATAGTAAAAGTGAAAACTGGTTACCTGTTTTATCAGTTGGTTATCTTCCTTGAGTTTGTTTTGCTGCATAGGGAAATGAGAAGTTATAATTGAGCATCATAGAGCCAGGGTGTGGCAGAGATTATTAAGACAACGTATAAAGCAGCAGAAATTATGATAGCAATGCATGATACAAATCAATCATGTTTATACTAATAATTTTAAGAACTATTAGGTTAACAATTTTTTTTAATAATTTTTTGACAAAAGTGTCACTGTTTTGAAATGGACTTTTCATAGACTATTATATAGACTGTTGTAAAAAAGTTGTCAAAAAAAATTGTTAAATTTTTTTTTTTCATAATTTAATTTCCATTAAGCATAGGTTATACCAATTTAATTCATTTCAATGCATTGAGATTGTGTTGATACGAGCGTAATTGAATTTGGATATCTTAAACAAAAAATTAGGTTTGAACCTTGCAGATAAATAAAATATATATAAATCAGAAAAGAAATTTACTAAAAAAGCTGAAGACGTTTTTTAATAAAGATTTACCCTCAATGAAGTCTACGTTACATTTATGTCAAATTTAATAACTTAATGACACTATAATTAATGCCAAATTTATTCATAAAACATATTAAAAAAGAATTTGAGAAGAAGCTCACAAATGCATAATAAGATTATTTTGATGATGAATATGAGCTTTATACCTTCTGCGAAAGTATGCCGATCTCTGCTAAAAAAATTTGAACCTGAAAGACGTTCAATGTTAAAGAGTGTAATAAAGGAAAAAGTGATGAGAGGAGGGAATCATGGACCTTGGCTTTATAAACACTGTTCAAGGATGAATCAAGTCGTTCTTCTAATTTCTGTAGTTCCTTTAGGTTCAATCCTTCCAACTCTTCTCCGTTCAGCTGTCTGAGATGAAATTGTAAAATTACAATAGATTTGAACTTATATGCATCACAAAATAAACCCTTTTTTGTGATGAAATCATCAAAAGATTCACGTTAGACAAACCTCATTTCACGACTCCTATCTTCCAATTGCTTGTTCAAAGAAGCATTACCCTGTACAATGACCACACAAATTAGATGCACACTACTAAAGAAATGACATTTACTAACATGAAAAGTTATAAGGATATACTTGTTTAATGTAAATTAAACTGTAAGTATAACATTCAGATGCAGTATACTCTACAAAAGAAAAATACTATTTCTCACTGCAAAAAGAAATCGTTCTTCTTTTCCACGTCCTCAATCAGAGGATATCTTGAAAAGTCCTTCAGATCATGGATGTTGACACATACGTGTTTTCTTTTGTTGATGTTACAAAGTTTATGTAGATAATGAAATACCAAGAAAATCTCTAAATAATTATCAATTTTAATCACAAAAATAATTAATCATTCTAACAACAAATTTAGATATCAATTTATAAAATAAAAATTATTAATTACTATAATAAATTAGTTTCTAAATTAATCACTAACACCGGCTATTAAAATTTTGAGTATCAAATAAATTGATCTCTAAATTGACTTTTAATTAATCAGATATCTAATGGCTCTATCATCAATCCTTGAAGGAAGGTCAATGGATGGAAATTTCCATTATTATGCCTTTTTAGACACATATCTGTCTTCTTGATTTTCTTTTCTTTGTAGTTTATAATCTAAGTCTTGGTGGAGAAACATCACAAACTCCTTCCATTACAAAGAGAAAGCATTTTCACTCCATATATATTTTATGATAGATATTAAAATTCTACATCATGTACCCTACGATTTACTTTCCGACGTTGATCTATAAACCCATGTACTATATGAAATATACTGATCAAAGTTAATGGTCATTTTTATATATTAGCAGATATTAATGGTTTGATTGCCGTATCAAATATGAATATTCGACATTAGTGTCATATAAAATATGAATTAATGAGCTTGATTGCTATAAGCTCCTTAAAAATATAGAGTTGGTAATATCTTGATCTATGATAATAAAATAGTATAACCTCTTTATCAAAATATCTGACTTGAGCGTCGAAATGTCTTCTGTAACTCAACAACCTATCGGGGTGGATTGCATGCTCGGAGAGGATTGGACGATCGAAAGAAAGCAGAGCAAGGAAGCCGACCCTCGAACCAATTCAACCGAAACACCCCACAACCTTATACTTCCTATAACTTGTCTTTGTAAGGCTTTTATAAGTGTTTTCTAGCGAGGTTTTACTCTTTGAGAAGAAGAAGGAGATTGAACTTCAATCTCTATGCAAGAAATCAAGGACTTCAGCTATAAAATTATCTTGTTTAAATGCTACAGACAATGCAAACTTTGTCTATATGTAGAACTTTTATCAGGATATGAATTTTGGTTCCTGAATGTTTTTACCACTCTTTATATATCTTATTTTTTTACTGAAATATTTTATTTCAAAATTAAAATTTTATCTTTTTCTCTAACAACATAACAGCTTTTTTTACACTCTTTTTATTTATCATCCATCTTTTTTTTACACTAGAGCGATTGCATTGTTTCTTCCTCATAATCGTAAAATCCTTTTCCAGAACGATCAGAATCATAAATATTGATTTTTTTTGTCATTAAAATCCTCAAATCCACAATTAAACACCAGCAGTGAAATTAAAAAAAAACAAGAAAAAAGTACCTGCTCCGTAGGATATGACTGGTCTAGTTTGTCAAGGTTCCACTCTGAGCATAAAATATATCTTTCAGTTATTTTCTGCATACTTCAAATAACACAAAAAGGCTGCACGTTAAACAACAATAACATCAAATATCTATCATAAAAGTTTACATAAATATTTCTACCTTTAATTGAAATTTATAGCAAATGTATAAAGTACAAATAACACTTGTATACTTCATTCAATCATAAACCACTAATATATAACTCTTTTTTATAATTAATTATATCTAATATAACTTTTATGAGAATCAATCTATTTTAGTATCCTTCCCTTATTACTTTCACATTTGTTCCACTGAATACATAGTTTTGTTTGCCGAATATTTAAGCTCAAATTTGGGCATTCAATATTTTGCCCAAACCAAGAATTTTCTGGAGAAAATGGGTAAAAAAATTTAAATTTCTATTCTAATAAAAAATCACTATATAAGATTTTTTTTTTTACTTTTATAAGAACTAATTAAAACTTATAACAACCAAAATTTTAATTAACTAATATTGTAAAATACTATTCTAACAATCCATAGAAATCAAATTGAGATTTAGTTAATCCAGACCTTGCAAAGAATTTGATCATTATAAGCTAATATATAAAAGAGAGAAAATGAATTAATGCCTTTCTTTAGCCAATGATTAATTAATTTTGTGGTTCAGATCTCCAGCCAATAATTAACCTGTTCTTATTCTGTTTTGATTAAATTTGTAAAAGCATAGCTTTGAAATTAGATTCTTAATCCTACTTAATTTGATCTTAAAATTATACAATATATCAATATGGTTTATCAGTTCAATTTTGATACACTTCTTTATTTTTCTTTTACACTCGATCCAACAATCAAAAACCAAAATCAATAAATGACTCATCAAATAAAATAATAATAATAATGCTTAAATTAATCTTGATTTTTCTTCCATTTTAATTACTCCTGTGGTTAAGTGCTGAACACAAGTTGCATTTTGTACTTTGTTTTCATAATATAAATTTCTTAATATAGATGACTAATTATGAATGTCTTTGAATAATATTGTCTACCGTTTTGTACAACTTTGAGTGTCCATTAATTTAAGTATTCACGGAAATATACGTTAAAAATATCATTCGTTTTAGAATTTAGAACTTTATTGCGATTTATACATAAAAAATGCTCTGAAAAATTAAATAAAAAATATGTTTAAATCATTTTACTCCTATATAATATAAAACTATAGGATGTATTAGAACACTATGGAATAACTCATCATTCCCGTCATACTATTACATTCCCACTACACATTTAACTAAATATATCAGATATTATATATAGTTACAAAACAGTTCAACGCGTGTATATTTCATTCATAATTTCATGGAAAGAGTGAAGTTACAAAAATAAAAACTACAAGTTTATATACAACTAAAATGATTTATGACATTTTTGTAAAGTTTATTATAACAACATTCAGAAGAAAAAGGAAACAAAAATATTATATCAGAAATTAAAATTAACTTATATACAAATAAAAAAATTATGTAAATGAACTTTTATATACTCATGAATGTAGGAACCTCCTTGCTCATGTAAAGCTAATGCTAAGTTAAAAAACCTCTTTTCCCATGACAGGAGTTCTTACTGTCCACCATTTTCCTTAACTAAATGGGATGAAGCTGTATATGGTAACCAAAAAAGTGAAACCTAGATAACATGGCTCCGATTTTCAAACAATGTTCGAAGAATTTATGACAGTTTCTTCAATGAAGAAAATCTAGAAGCTCTCAAAGAGATCCAAACATGATGATAACATCAACCCTAGAAGCATTGTTATAAATTAAGGAATGATAAAACTCAAAAGAAGGTACCTTGAACTTGCATAGTCGAAGAGCTTGCCACCAGGTGAAAAGACAATGAGAGCAATCTCAGCATCGCAAAGAAGAGAAAGCTCACGTGCTTTCTTCAAAAGGCCACTCTTTCTCTTTGAGAATGTCACCTGCCTCGCAGTTACGTCCACGATCTTCTTGATCGGTATCTTCTTCCTCACCATTTTCGTCAAAATCAAGCAGACCAGAAAATCGTGCCCTATTGCTTCTGACAGTTAACAGGTTTCACATGAAATAAGGTGTGTCAGAAATTGTTCTGAGAGATTAAGAACACAAACAAAGATTCGCAATTTCGGCTTTGATGTGAACCCGTTTTCATCAAAAAAGAAAGAAAATAAAGAGGGTCGATCACATGTATGCAAAGAAAAGCTCGTGTTCTTGAGCCGTACAGAGAAAAGGTGAAGAAAATTGATCCATGTTATGAAAGTGAGTAGGTTTTACTTGTTAAGATCTTGACAAAACGGGAAATCGAAGATGGAAAACAAAAAACCAAAAGCACAGTCAAAAAAGCAGAAGGAACCCTAGGCAAATGGGGGCAAAGAGAAGAGATTGAAAGAAAAGAAGAAGAAGAAAAAGAAACCTAACCTGTGCTTGTCTCCAATGGAAGAAGATGAAGGGAAGACATGGACATCTAAATCCTTCCTCTAACTTATCTCACCATTTATTATCGTACTACTGACACTGTCACATCAATTCATAGATTTTTACAAGCTTCTTTCATGTCTATCTTCTTTTTACTACTTTTGGAGGAACAACTTAGCTTCACTCGGCTATTCCTTCTTATTATATACAATATAAATTTCATTCACGGCTCTAAATAAATGTATTAAGATTTTATTTTATTGGTTAATATCATAAACTTTTTATTTAGTAATATACAAAACTTAAACTTATTTCTGTAAATTGGCTGAATTAAGTTAAATATTCGAAATTAAATTTGACTTTGAAACAAATAAATTATTTAAAGTTTCTAGTCAAAAAATTTGAACTTGAAAAAGTTACGTCATAATACGATATTTGAGATATTTTATTTGATTTTATGAATATTTAGAGACTTTTTTGCTAAAAAAAATAAAAAATTTAAATATTCGACAGTGGATAAATTTTTGTAATAAATCTAGGTATAAATATTTTAAAACAAAATCGCCTATTTTGATATGATTTATTAATCTCACAAGTATAATGATGTTCAATATGTTCAATATATATATATATATATATATATATATATATATATATATATATATA